ACCGTAATTCCACCATAAAGAGGTAATCAAGATTAACTTACTTGTGTGTTGACCTTCCTGTTGTGAACACAATTGCATAATAGTACATTTATTGAGAATATCTTTTCGATAATAAGTGATAAGATGACTCAACAGAGAATAGGATAATAAACAGCATAATGTTGCGTCATGTAAAAACATACATTGGTAGGTCAGCCTCAGCCCATGTCCCACATTCACTTTGGTAGTGTTCAATTTTACGCCTAAAATAGTTTTAGGAGCACCGAATTATTTTTTCAGCAACAATGACTACGCTTTAATTTAAGTGGGCGTTTGAATATAAGAATTGTAAAATTCCGAAAAAAAGGTAAAAATAGTATTCGAAAATTAGAATTGTGTTTGGATATGAATATAATTTTGGGATGTTTTTGAATTTTTGTGAGTAATTTGAAGTAAAATTTTTAAAAAATAGCTTTTTGGAGTTTTTCAAAATTCCGAAAATTTTCGAAATTCATCTTTAAGTAAAAATTGAGAATTTCATGGCTAAACACAGATTTGAAAAAAAGTGCAATTTTCCGAAAAAAATGAATTTTTATATGGCCAAACAGGCCATAAATTAGCTGGAATCAATTGTATAAATAATCTATTGGGCTACGTTAAGGGTGGCATGTGGGCCGGACCCGGTCATAAGTGGGCCCAGGATTCACGGGCTTCTTGTTGGAACCGGTTCGGGACCGGGACCACGAACTGATGGTCCCGGATTAAGTGGGCCGGTCCCAGGCCTAAGTGGGCCCAAGTGGGCCTAAGTGATACTTTCTATTTTTTAAATTTTTTTATAAAAGTTAGAGAAAAAAAATGGTAATAAAAATATTTAAGGCAATTCCTTGTAAATTATATTATAGAATTGTGACCTAAAGTTTTTAATTCAAATTTAAAGACAAAAATATTTTAAAGAGATATTCAAAGCAATGCGTTATAATTTTATTATAGCATTAAAAAAATATGGCAATATCTTTCTTAGTCTTCCTCCCCCCCTATGGAATGAGCACAATAATATGCTAATACCACCCTTGAGAAGAAAAGAAACTAATCAAAATGTGCCAAAATACAAGTTACATATTAATTTTTGTTCATATAAGTTACATGGTATCTCTTACAATCCTCATAAATCCAATGACTGGTAACAGTAAGGTAATCACAGTCATTACCACTTCTACCAATATCAGTTGTAATAGCAACACGATAATTTATATGAGTAAATAAATAGCGCAAATATTGTTCATATTCATGTTTATATTTATAAATATCGCTCTTTACGGTTGTGCGAGGAAAACCTTTATAAGTAGGATTATAAACTTTTCTAATATAATGCACAAAGTGAGGGTTAGAAGGAAAACTATAGGGTAACAGGTTTGGGTCGGGGAGCTGGGGGAAGTGGAGGAGGAACAGATTGGCCACTAGATTCACCACTCTTGAATTTTTCCCTATTTTTACTAAATATTTTTTAAGGAATAATCCATCTTAATTAATCAAGCAATACAAAGTAAATAAAACAAACAAAACTATAATATTAAAACTTAAGAGTTGGAACGAGTTTACCGAATTGACGAACAACTTGTTGAAAATTAATTATCGTTGAAGACTTGAAGACTTCAATTCACCAACTTCACAATTTTGCACAAATTGTAACAATAAAGTAAGTAATTATAGAAGAAAATTAGAGAGAGATTGATGATTTTGTGAGAAAAATAAAAGAATGAGGGGGTATTTATAGTTAAAAATAGAGAAAAAATGTAATTATAAAAAGTTTGGGGTTAAAACAAAGTTGGAGGGTTAAATGGCTATTTTGTAAATAGCCAACGACTATTTTGGTAGAGAAAACAGCTACATTTTAAATGCCCCAACGAGCAGATTTGTTTTTTAAATTTGGAGCCGTTGGGACCGTTTAGGCCCGCTAGGACCGGTCCGGTCCCGGTCCTAAACGGTCCGGTCTCGCGTGCCTTGCGCAAAGGACCGACCCACTTGCAGGCCCACCTTCCCCCGGTACGCGTAAACTTCCAAATACACAAACCTCCGAACTCATAACTTTGGAACTTGTAAAATTTCGAACATGTAAACCGAAAGATGAAAAAACTAAAGCTGAAAATATATTAAAAAAATATTTTTTTCGAGGGGGGAGAGCGGGGCAGGGGCGGGGGGTGCAGAAAAACGAAAAAACAGAAATTTGAAATTACAAAAAAAAAGTAATTTTTTTTGGGGATGGTGAGTGGTGATGAACTGAAATTTGAAAAAAAAAAAAAAGCCTTTTCTAAGAGAGGGGTGGGGTGGATAGGCATGGGGTGGGGTTAGGTAGGTGGGTGTGCGGTGGGTTGGTGAGGGTGAAGAAGGTTGAGAAGTAATTTTGGAAAATATTTTCCCTTCTCTTGATAAGGAAAATATTTTTCTCCAATTGAAGAAAAATAAGTTCATAAGGAAAATATTTTTCAAAATATTTAAACCAACCAAACATTAAAAAATTGAAAAATATTTTTGTTCATATCGAATACACCCTTAATCCATTATGATTTTAACACGCCCTACCTTGCCTCTTTTTAGCATTTGGCCAAAATTAATTTTGCCCTTTTCCGCACCGCCCTGCCTTGTTTATGCTTTCTTTTGTTTTCTTCCTTTCTTTTCTTTAATAATGGTTGCAATATAGTTATGTCTCAAAAAGATTCATTAAGAAATAACTAAAATATATTTTGGTTAGGCCAAGACCTATCTAGTGTATTTTACTTCAGAATGCAACACCAAACTTTATAAAGCAGCAATAAGTCTATTGCTTAATTAATGGTTAATGGTTAAGTATAAAGTTCTCTACTCTCCTCAAAATTTATCCTACTTGTGCCTTCAATTTTCTAAGTTTCAAGAGTTTAATAGCGAAACATGTGAATGAATTATTAAACAAAAAAATTGTGGAGAAGAATTTCAAATAATAATTCTAATGAAAGATCATGCTAGAAAAGTCTCTCGATTAAATTTGAGATGAGTGTAAAATAATTTTTTCTCCATTTCAAATTGGATGCATTAGTTTGACTTTCCAGAATTATTGAGAGAAAATTTAGTACCTTTTGAGTTAATATGCGGGGATGCATATAAGCTCTTTTGGCTTTTTAAAACAAAGTAAAGAAAGAAGTGTATAGAAAAGATTAGAAGTGTGTTTCACTTAACGTTTTGTGATTGTTACACACCATATATTTCGTAAAGTTATCACCAATTTTGGCATGTACTTTTATTTCTTTTGACGAACTTCAAATTCATGAAGCAAAACAAGAAATGGACAGGTAAAGTAACTAAGAAACGAATTGGGCCTCAAAGGCAGCAAAAAAAGCAGTTCGCAACAAAAGACTGACCTGCCACCACTGCCTTGCTCCATTAAAAACTTTCAATCTAAGTTTTGCAACCCCCACACCCCCAAAAACCCTGGCACTGCCACGTCTCGTTTTACTCTTCCGCTGCCTCGCTTTATTTAAGTGTTTGCCTTGTCCAATCCCGTCCTGTCCTATTGACATCCCTAGGCGCATGACTAACCAAGAACGGGCAAGCTCCGGTGCTTCCGAAGTCAAGCCATACACCAATTTCAGAATCATGACCAATCAAATACAAAGCTCGTGGAAAGAACAACTAACCACAAAGCGTAACTTCATCTCATTTCATATGTAACGGAGTCACAACAATAAACAAAATGACCTCATTTCGTCACTCGGGAAAGAAAAGAGTTAGTTAAAATTACATGTACAAATAGGTTGGGGGGGGGGGGAGTTTACTCCTAGGCTGTCCTCCTATAGTTGTCCCAACTATTTGTTTGTGTATTTCGTCTTTTAAAATATAACAATAACTAAATAATGCATGACATGCAACTTATCGGGGAAAGGAATCCTCACCCGAACTCTTTATTCCATTTTCTTGCAGTACACTACTGCGCTGGATACTTACAGGAATAAGTGCAAAAACGAAGAGAGTTAAAAAGGTAGCATATTGAACAAAAGAGTATATAATAGGGAGGGCCAATGAATTAAGGGAGAAAATTAACAAGTTGGTGTATATTGCCACGGATACGCTTATAAACTTGTAACCGTATATATTAGAGTTTAAGTTATATACACCGTCAATATAAAGAATTTTTACACCATCACGTCATATTTATCTGTTGTAACAAATAACCTGTCTTATTTCCAAGATGAAAAGGGTTGGTACGTGTACAATATGTTTACAATATTTTTCCACCAATTTTTTTTCCTAATTCTAAATATAGTGGCTCTGTTCAAAATTAAAATTATATAGTAATAAAATCCTTTTTCTTTTATCAGCTCAGCGATCCACGTTTGGATGAGTTAACAACAGTAGGGTGTAATGAGTATATGTAGCAATTATTTTCTACAGCTTATGGTTAATGTTGATAATTCTTTTCAAAGAAAATGATAGATACATTCAAAAATGAAGGGAATAAAAGAGCACATTAGTCAAAGGTAGAGAGAATTAACCATTTAGTTGAGAATTGACAATTGAGTAGTTATATTTTAATGGTGTAACGCTGAAATCTCACCTGGTTCTTCTCTCATTCCTTGACTAAGCCTCTTCCACCTTCCAAATAAAGGGGAAAACGAACGTTTCCTCGCATTTAGTTATATCCAAAACCACTCATCGGCATTGATCAGTTACTGTCCACTGCATCATTTTAGAGGTTATGTTAAGTCATTATTCAAACAACTCTGCTAAATGGTCGGATTGCCATGCAAATTAAGGTTACAACTCTCTCTCTTAAGCCCTATATAAAGCTCCCCTTACCATGTCAATTCAATCATCCATCTTCTCTTTTGTAACAATAAAACTAATAAACACCAACGAGAGGAGTAACCTCGAGTTGTTGATCACTATCATCTTTCCTTTTTTCCTTCTACATTATTCTACAGGAAAGAGGGAAAGAAGTTATATCTCAAAAACCGTAAAAAAAAAACAAGAAAAATTAAAGAAGAGAAAAGATGGTGGGGAAAATAGTGGTTTCGTTAGTATCCTTGATTCTTCTAGTTGGTGTGATAATAGGAGTGGTGGTGGTTGTACACCAAAATGGGAATCACAAAGAAGATCAAAGCACCAAAGTCCAAATGAAGAAAGTGCACGAGTTTTGTCAAGCAGCTGAATTTAAAGACTCATGTGCCAAGAGTCTTGAGTCCGTAGCCAAAAACGATTCAGCTACAATTAATGACTATCTAATGGCAGCCTTCCAAACTACAGTGGAAGAAGTGAAGAAAGGACTGCAGGAGGCTGGGAAGACTTCTGTAAACAAAGAGAGTGATCCTTACAATCACATGGCTATAGAGGATTGCAAAGAGCTGTTGCAAAGAGCTGTCGAAGAACTTGAGGACGCGCTCAGCTTGGTTGGAGAGACAGACACTCAATCACTAAATGAGTATACCTATGATCTGTTGAACTGGCTCAGTGCCGTCTACTCCTACCAAAGCATGTGTGTTGATGCAATTGACAAGCCCGAGTTAAAAACCGCTATTCAAAACGGCGTTGTCAATGCCACACAACTCACAAACAATGCACTCAACATTGTAGCAAAGATTTCAGACCTCTTCCAATCCTTCAACATTCAAATTCCTGATAATCTTATCAACAACAGCACCAGCAGCGACAGCAACTCACCTCATCGCCGTCTCCTTGAGGCGAACAAGATCGATCAGGACGGTTACCCTACATGGTTCCCCGTTGCTGACCGTAAGCTATTGGCAAAATCCGGAAAAGGGAAAGGAAAAGGACACGGTGGTGCTGCGGGAGGAGCTGGGGTTGCTCCAGTACTTCCTCCAATCGGCCCCGGCCCAATTACTCCTCACGCAGTAGTTGCCAAGGATGGAAGCGGCAAATTTAAAACCGTCACTGATGCAGTCAGAGCGTACCCACCAAACCACCAAGGCAGATACATTATCTATATCAAGGCCGGCGTTTATAACGAGCAGGTCCTTATCGATAAAAAACAAACAAACGTGTTTATGTATGGTGATGGCGCAGGGAAATCTATCATCACTTGTGACAAA